ACAACAAAACAAATAATAAAATGCCACTAAATACATATCTATCAATAATCACTCTGAATGTAAATGGACTAAACTCTCCAATCAAAAGATACAGGGTATCATAATGGATAAAAAACAAGACCCATCTATATGTTGCCTATGAGAGACTCATTTTAGACCTAAAGAACCTGCAGATTGAGAGTGAGGGGATGGAGAACCATTTACCATGTGAATAGACGTCCAAAGAAAGCCAGAGTAACAGTACTTAAAGCAGACAAACTAGATTTTAAACCAAAGACTAGGGGCACCCAGGTGGCTCAATCAGTTAAGTGTCCAACTCCTGATTTCAGCTCAAGTCATGATCTCAGGGTTGTAAGACTGAGCCCTTCATTTGGCTCATGTGCTGGGCATGGAGCCTGCTTGGGATTCCTCTCACCTTCTGCCCACTAAAAACGTAAAATAAAATAAAAACCAAAGACAATAACAAGAGATGAAGAAGAAGAATACCATATCATAATTAAGGGGTCTATCCATCTCAAGATCATGTAATACTTATGCCCCCAACCTGGGAGAATACCCTTGGCACCTGAGTGGCTCCAGTCAGTTAAGCATCTGCCTTGGGCTCGGGTAGTGATCTCAGGGTCCTGGGATGGAGTCCCACAGCAGGCTCCCTGTTCAGCAGGGAGTCTGCTTCTCTATCTCTCTCTGCCATCCCCCGCCCCCCACCGCCAAATCCACTGCTCATGCACTCTCATGCAGACTCTCTCTCAAATAAATAAAATCTTAAAAAGAAAAAAAAAATAGAGAGAGAACACAGTGACAGTTACAAGGGGGGAAATAGGTGAGGGGATGGAAAAATAGAGAATAGGGGAGGCACCTAGGTGGCTCAATTGTTTAGCCATCTGCTTTTGGCTCGAGTTATGATATGGGAGTCCTGGGATCAAGCCCTGAGTTGGGCTCTCTGCTCAGCAGGGAGCCTGCTTCTCCCTCTCCCTCTGCTCTTTCACTTCCCTCCACTAGTGCTTGCCCTCTCTTGCACTCTCTCTCTCTCTCTCAAATAAAGAAAAAAAATCTAAAAAGAAAGAAGAGAGAAAGAAAGAAAGAAAGAAAGAAAGAAAGAAAGAAAGAAAGAGAAAGAAAGAAAAGAAAGAAAAGAAAGAAAAGAAAGAAAGAAAGAAAGAAAGAAAGAAAGAAAGAAAGAAAGAAAGAAAGAAAGAGAGAGGATCCCTGGGTGGCGCAGCGGTTTAGCGCCTGCCTTTGGCCCAGGGCGCGATCCTGGAGACCCGGGATCGAATCCCACGTCGGGCTCCCGGTGCATGGAGCCTGCTTCTCCCTCTGCCTGTGTCTCTGCCTCTCTCTCTCTCTCTATCATAAATAAATAAAAAAAAATTAGAAAGAAAGAAAGAAAGAAAGAAAGAAAGAAAGAAAGAAAGAAAGAAAGAAAGAAAGAAAGAAAAGAAAAGAAAAGAAATAGGTGATGGGGATTAAGGAGTGCTCTTGTGGTGAGCACTGGGTGCTAAATAAATGTTGAATATATTGTACGCCTGAAAGTAATATGACACTGTAGGTTAACTACTGGAATTTAAATAAAAACTGGAAAAATATAAATAAATATCATCTAAATCAGAAAATAAATGGATGAAGGACCTGAGTGGATATTTCTCCAAAGAAGATATGTAAAAAGGCTGACTGAGTCATGAAAAGATGCTCAATCACCATTAGGGGAATGTGAATTAAAACTACAAGAGGGGATCCCTCGGTGGCTCAGCGGATGGCGCCTGCCTATGGCCCAGGGCGCGATCCTGGAGTCCCGGGATCGAGTCCCACGTCGGGCTCCCAGCATGGAGCCTGCTTCTCCCTCCTCCTGTGTCTCTGCCCCCCTCTCTCTCTCTCTCTCTCATAAATAAATAAATAAATAAATAAATAAATAAATAAATAAATGAAGGAATGAATGAATGAATGAATGAATGAATATTTTAAAAAAAAATACTACTATGAGAGGGCAGCCCCGGTGGCGCAACGGTTTAGCACTGCCTGCAGCCCAGGGCGTGATCCTGGAGACCCTGGATCGAATCCCACATCAGGCTCTCTGTATGATGCCTGCTTCTCCCTCTGCCTGGGTCTCTGCCTCTCTCTCTGCCTAAATAAATAAATAAATAAACAAACAAACAAATAAATAAATATCTTAAAAAAAAAAAACTGCTATGAGAGGTGGGGTGCCTGAGTGGCTCAGTGGTTGAGCGTCTGCCTTGGGCTCAGGGTGTGATCCAGGGATCTGGGATGGATTCCCACACCAGGCTCCTTGCAGGAACCCTGCTTCTCCCTCTGCCTATGTCTCTGCCTCTTTCTGTGTCTCTCATGAATAAATTTTAAAAATCTTAAAAAAAAAATACAGTGAGAGGGGCGCCTACGTGGCTCAGTGGTTGAGGGTCTGCCTTTGGCTCAGGGCGTGATCCCAGACTCCCAGGATCAAGTCCCACGTTAGGCTCCCTGCACAGAGCCTGCTTCTCCCTCTGCCTGTCTCTGCCTCTCTGTGTCTCTCATGAATAAATAAAATCTTAAAAAAAAAAAATACCACCTCATGCCTGTTAGAAATTTCCATCTTCAAAAAGACAAAAGATAAATAAATTAAAAAGAAAAAAAGACAAAAGATAACAAATGCTGGCATGGATATGTAGAAAAGGGAATCCTTATGTACCATTGGTGGGACTGTAAACTGGAGTAGCCACTATGTATAGAAGATCATCAATAATTAAAAATAGAACTACTATATGATCTAGCAATTCCACTTCTGGGAATATATCCAAAGGAAAAAAAATGCTAATTTGAAAAGATATTTGCAACCCCACATTCACTGTAGATATATTTGTAATAGTCAAGACATGGAAACAACTTAAGTGTCCATCAATGAACGAATGAATAGATAAAGTTGTAATGTATATATACAATGGAATATTATTCAGCCATAAAAAATAAGGAAATCCTACCATTTGCAACAATGTGGATGGATCCTGAAAACATTATGCTAAGTGAGATTAAGTCAGCGAAAGACAAATACTACATAGTCTCGCTTACATGTGTAATCTAAAAAAAAAAAACAAATTGGGCAGCCCGGGTGGCTCAGCGGTTTGGCACCACCTTCGGCCCAGGGCATAATCCTGGAGACCTGGGACTGAGTCCCATATCGGGCTCCCTGCGTGGAGCCTGCTTCTCCCTCTGCCTGTGTCTCTGCCTCTTTCTGTGTCTCTCATGAATAAATAAATAAAATCTTAAAGAAATAAATAAATAATAATAAAAAAACTCAAATTCATAAAAAAAGAGATCAGACTTGTGGTTACCAGAGGCAGAGGGCCTCGGAGAGAAAGTGGAGGGAGGTGGTCAAAGGTACAAGCCCCCAGCTATAAGTGCTAGGGATATGATGCACAGCACAGTGACTAGAGCTAACACGGCTGTACAGCATATAGAAAAGCTATTAAGAGTAGATCCTAAATTCTCATCAAAAGAAAAAACAATTTCCCCCTTTTTTCTTTTTATTTAATCGTATCTGTATGAGAAGATGGATTTATCTGAGCCTATGGTGGTAATCATTTCATAATATATGCAAATCAAATCATGTAGTATGCCTTAAATTTATACAGTGATATTTATCAGTTATTTCTCAATAAAACTGGAAAGAGTAATGAAGTCAGAATCTATTACTAGATACATGATGAGATTTTCAAAATATTTTACTAGAGAAACACAAAGTAGTAATTTAGAAATTATAATCCATTGGATTGGCCAAATTATTAGAAATTATTAGAAATAGAGGCAGGGATACAGAAAAACTGATATTCTTGTATTGTATTGTAGAAGGACATATCTAATCTAGAAAATAATGTGGTCATACTCCATCAAATAAAATATTATAACCCAATTATAGGCAATCCTATTACTCTTTCCAAAGAAATTCTCATCCCCAAAGAATAGTTCATGAAGAAATTTATTACAATACTAATTGTAATAGTGGGAAGCTGGGCAAGTAAAATGTGATACATATCCAAAGTATGGAAGGATATGCATCAGTTAGGAGCAATGAATTTTTCTAAAAAACACTTTGCAACATGAATCAATTTGGTGCTAAGAGGAAAAAAATAAACTGAGTAGGACATACAGCATAGTACCATTTCTACAAATTAAAAAGTATCAACAATTTAAATTTTACAAATACCCTACAAATTCAAGGATAGATAGCAAGCATATCAACTACATGAGAGCAGTTACCTCTAAGGATAACAACAAACATGAGGAGTGAGAGTTAAAAGGGAAAAACAAAAAAACAAAATGGGGGGTAAATACATTATGATAAAATTAAATAAAAACTAAGGAATACAATCAGCTCAATTTCCTGTTAACAAAGTACAACTTTTTGTAAAATGTCAAAGTAAATTAGTTAGAAAGATCAACTCAGTGTTGTATTACACTAGCCAAATAAAAAGAAAATGTCAGAACACATAACTACTAGTGTCCTATTTAGCAAAAAGCTGCCCCCTACATGTAGTAATGGTACCCTCAAAGTTGACAGAGGAGAGGCAGGGGAGATAATAAAGGAAGGCTATCTCTAAATGGCAATTCTGAAACACTCAGGGAAAGAGAGAAAATGAAAAACAACTTACAAGAATATGTTCCAAAGTAATTTTTTAAAATGATGAAACAATGAGTTTCTGAATGTGTAAGAAAAGGATTGAAGACCTTGATGTGATGAAAGTAAAAAGAATAAAAATGCTAGAGAAAGGGAGAAAAAGCATAAAGCAGGATCCTAGATCCAAAGTACCAGTAATTATAGCACATTCCCTCCTACAAAGATAAAGACACTAATCCAGGAAGTGGCCTTGTGTGGGGAGGGCCTTCAGATGTCCAGGGGAGTAGACCAACTAGTTACCAAAGCAGCACATCAACAGTGCTTCACAGCTGACAGCCTCTGCCAGTCCAGGGGAGGTTCACTCACACTGCTTCTCCCGCTCCTGGTTTTTCCTACTCACCATGATGACTGTGACTGCAGATGTCACCAGCCAACATACGTAGCACCTCTTGCTCCAAGTTGAAAATGACTTCTGGTTTGGGAACTTGACACCCTATTAACAGGAAATGGTAGAAGACTTGGTTTCAGAGGCCATTCAGTGAGACATTCATTTACTTTTCAGAAAAGTTCATGCAGAACAAAGGTATATTTCATAATACCCCAAAGGGATAATTAATAACATAGGACAAAATGACAAAACTATTACACATTTCACATGTCCTGCAGTCTTTAGAACTCCCACATACCTCAGAAATCCCAAAGAATTAAAAAATTCCACTGAGAATGAAAATATACTCCAACAGCCCAGCCTTATTCCCAGTGGAGCTGTGCTTACCCACTGAGATCAAGTTGAAATAGTTTTCCAGCATTACATCCCTGTATAGGCTTTTCTGAGCAAGGTCCAATTGTTGCCATTCCTCCCTGCTGAAGTCTACTGTTACATCCTTGAATGACACTGATCCCTGAAAAACACATTCCAATTCAATGTGAAGGATGAGGATTAAAGAATGGAAATAAGATATTTAGGAACTTACTTTTAATGATTTTTAACATATTACAACAAATAAGGTCCTCACTAAACACATATTATTATATTGAAGGAAAAAAATCATTAAAAATATGCCATTCTTTCTGTGGTACTGATGATATTCTGGGTAGTTTTGGTCTTGTTTTCACTGGTGTGCTGGTTTCAAAGAAATAAGCTGTGAAAATTCATAAATGTAAATCTATGATTTGTGCATTTTCTAGGCCATGTCATTAACACTTTGTGTGAACAATAAAATATATTCTGCCATTCATTTTGAATAAGTCCATTCTTCCTTTAAAAAAGATTTTAGGGCAGCCCTGGTGGCGCAGCAGTTTAGCGCCACCTGCAGCCCAAGGCGTGATCCTGGAGACCCGGGATCGAGTCCCACGTCAGGCTCTCTGTATGGTGCCTGCTTCTCCCTCTGCCTGTGTCTCTGCCTCTCTCTCTCTCTCTTTCTCTGTCTCTACGAATAAATAAATAAATAAATCTTTTAAAAAATAAATAAATAAAATAAAATTAAAAAGATTTAAAAAAAGGTTTTTTTCCCCCCAAAACAGTGTGGTACTAGCATAAAGAGAAACATATACGTCAATGGAATGTAACTGAGAATCCACACGTAAACCCTCATATTCATAGTCAATTGATGTTCAACAAGGGTGTCAGAACAATTTAAAATTAAAAAAAAAAAAGTTTTTAACAAATAGTGCTGGGACAAGTGGATATCCACAGGTAAAAGGATGAAGTTGGACCACTACTTCATATCATAAAAAAATTAGCTCAGGGCTCAGCCATCTGGGTGGCTCAGTCAGTTAAGTATCTGCCTTCGGCTCAGGTCATGTCTTGCTTTCTGCTCAGTGGGGAACCTGTTGCTCCCTCTCCTCCTGGCTTGTGCTCTGTCACTATCTTTGACTTTGGCTCTCATATAAATAAGTAAAATCTTTTAAAAAAAATTAGCTCAAAGTGGATCAAAGGCCTAAATGTTCTTATCTTTAGCCAAATTTACAATTAAATAAAAGAGTAAATCTTTTTCGACACTGGATTTGACAATAACTCCTTGGACATAAAAATCAAAAGCACAAGCAAAGAAAAAAAAATAAACTGGACTTCATTAAAATTAAAACCTTTAAAAAAATTAAAACCTTTGTGCTTAAAAAGACTATCATGAAAAGAGTAAAAGGACAACCCAAAAACTGGGATATGAGTTTTATAAATTATATGTCCAAAAAGGGACTTGTATCTAGACTATATAAAGAACTCTTATAACTCAATAAAAAATAAATAATCCAATTAAAATGGGTAAAGGATCTGAATATACATTTCTTCAAAGATATGCAAATGGCCAAAATGCACATGGAAATATCCTCAATATCTTTAGTCATAAGGGATAAAGAAATCCAAATTCACTGAAGTGACTATAATAAAAAAGATGCTCAAATTCACTGAGGTGACTATAATAAAAAAGATGCTCAATATTGTTTGTCATCAGGGAAAAATACCCCCTAGGATGGCTTCAACAAAAAATACATAATAATAAACATCAGTGAGGAAGTAGAAAAAGTGGAATCTTCATGTGGCGATGGTAAAAATGTAAAATGGAACGCCACTTTGCACAACAGTGGCAATTCCTCAAAAAGTTAAACACAGAGTTATAATATGATCCAAGAGATCCACTTCTAGGCATATACCCTATAGAAATGAAAACATTTGTCCACATAAAGCTTGCACATTAATGTTCATAATAGCATTATTCATAATATTCAAAAATAGAACCCAATGTCTGTGAACTAATTATGGCTAAAAAGAAATGTGCTATATCCATACAACAGAATGTCATTCAGCCATAAAAAGGAATGAAGTACTGATATATGCTACAGTGTGGACGAATCTTGAAGTAAAAGTCACAAAAAGCCAGATATTCTATGATTCCATTAATATAAAATGTTTAGAACAGGAGTACTTATTATTATAGAAATATTAGTAACTGTCTAGGGATAGGAGGAAAGGGAGGTTAGCGGAAATATTCTAAAACTAATGTTGGTTACACAACTCTGTGAATATACTAAGAACCAATGAACATATACTTTAAATGGACAAACTGTATGGTATATAAAAAGGGCTCTTTGAGGCACTGCCATCTCCAGATGGGACACAAGAGCTTTTGGGAGTCCAGTGTTTCTTCCAAGCATAACTATAATGATGAAATACTGAAATCATCTGTTTTAAAGTACAAGAAAGCTATTAGGGGCTAAGACTCTGGAGAGAACATTGAAAATTTAAGCTGATGTATGTAGCCACTTTTATACTGGAAGTATTTATCAATTCTAGGTGTTAGCAAAGATAAGAATCCATCTTTGAACCAGTAGAAGGCTGTAGCTGGATGATAGAGAAACCAGGACTCAAACACACACCAGTTTTCCCCTTGAGACATCTGCCAAATTCTAGGGCTACATGGGCAAAAGACTAAAAACCAGATAGCGTCTGAAAAAGCAAAGTAAAATTTCAGTAGTCTGGAAAGAAAACACAGTTGGGCATCTGCCAGGAGGGTGCACAAAGGACAAATTGGGCTCTCAGCAGAAAATCCTGGATGGTCAAGATGAACCAGAGGTTAAGGCTTCAACTCAGCCTTGATCCAACACTGTGCCTGACTGGATAAAGGTGCCAAGAAAAAGATGAATCCTCTGTTGAGAAAAATTACCATCATCCAGATCCTTTAAATGCTTCATACACTGTTTCTCTCTCACACACTCTCTCTCTCTCTCTCTCCTAGGCATACCAAAGATAGGTTCAAATGCCCAAAATCAGGTAAAAAAATATTCAATAAAAATGGTCCAACAGGCAACTGGAGATAGATAAAAAGATGGAGAATTTCATCAGAGAATTAGGATTTATAATATAGAATCAAGGGACACCTGGGTGGCTTAGCAGTTGAGCATATTGTTTTCAGCTCGGAGCGTGATCCCAGGGTCCCAGGATCAAGTCCCACATCAGGCTCCCTGCATGAAGCCTGCTTCTCCCTCTGCCTATATATCTGCCCACCCCCATCTCTCTCTCTCTCATGAATAAATAAAATCTTAAAAAAAAAAAAAACAGAATCAAATGAAAATTCAAGTTAAAACATTTAATACATTAAATCAAGAACTGAGATAGGTATAACAGCAGAATACAGAATTAATAAAATAGAAGACAAGAAAATGGAAGATATCCAAACTGAATCACAGAGATTTTTTTAATGAAAATAAACAAAATCATGTGACATGTGTCACATATATGACACAGTGAAAAGGAATAATATATTGTAGTCTGAAAAGACTAGGGGGGAGAGTGTGAGGCAAAAGCAGTATTTGAGAGTATCAGTGAACAACATCAACCCAAAGATTCAAGAAGTTCCTCAAATCCAACTTTATAAAACTGCAAATACTGACTGCAAAAAACAGTAATAGTAATATCTAGCAATTTTTAAAACATAGTAGAATTTAAATGCATGAAAATACTAATGCAAAAGTGAGATAGTAAATGAAATTAAGGTGATTTAGAATCCTAGAATTATTGAGAAAGTAGAAATAATAATGTGTTAAAGAGGGATGCCTGGGTGGCTCAATGGTTGAGCATCTGCCTTTGGCTCAGGTTGTGATCCTGAGACACAGAGATCGAGTCCCATATTGGGCAGCGAGTCTGCCTCTCCCTCTGCCTATGTCTCTGCCTCTCTTTCTGTGTCTTTCATGAATAAATATATCTTAAAAAAAATAATGATTTAAAGATGAATATTATATCTATGCTAACAAATAAAAGAATGTATATAATGAGCAAGTTAACTAAGGAAAAAGTAGAATTTTGAATAACTTAAAAGAAGATCAAGAAAGGAATGAGGAAATAATATTAAATTAATGGTTCAAATGCAAAACTAATAATAAGTATATATAAATACAAGTATATCAGCCATTACATTAAACATAAATGGACTAAACATTCAAGGTAAAGCAAAGATTGAATAAATCCCACTTACTCATGGTGAATGAGCCCTTGAGTATATTGTTGAATGCAGTTTGGTAATATTTTGCTGAGGATTTCTGCATCTATGTTCATCAAAGTTATTGGCCTAAAGTTTTCCTTTTTGTAGTGTCTTTGGTTTTAGTAGCAAGGTAATGCTGTCCTTTTAGGATGTGTTTGGAAGCTTTCCTTCCTCTTCTGTTTTTTGGTATAGTTGGAGTAGAGTTTTAATGTTTGCTAGAATTCACATGTAAAGCCATCTGGTCCCAGATTTTTGTCTCTTGGGAGTTTTTTCATTATCAGTTCAATTTCATTACTAGTAATTGAAATTTTACTGTTTTAGATTTCAGGGGCAAGACAAGGCTATTCACTTTCACCACTTCTATTCAACATAGTACTGGAAGTCCAGGACATAGCAATTAGAAAGAAAAAAGAAAAGGCATCCAAACGATAAGGAAGAAATAAAACTGTCACTATTTGCAGATGACATGATACTATACATAGAAAACCCTAAAGACTCCACCAAAAAAAATATTAGAAATAAATTCAGTAAAGCAGGTACAAAATTAATATACAAAAAGTACAGATATTGGTTATGTTTCTATATACTAACAACTATCAGAAAGAAAAATTAATGGGCAGCCCCGGTGGCTCAGTGGTTTAGCACCACTTTCAGCCCAGGGCCTGATCCTGGAGACCCGGGATCGAAACCTGCGTCGAGCTCCCTACATGGAGCCTGCTTCTCCCTCTGCCTGTGTCTCTGCCATTCTCTCTCTCCGTGTCTCTCATGAATAAATAAAATCTTTTAAAAAAAGAAAGAAAGAAAGAAAGAAAGAAATAAAGAAAGAAAGAAAGAAAGAAAGAAAGAAAGAAAGAAAGAAAAAGAAAGTACTTACAATTGCATCAAAAAGAATAAAATGTCTAAGAAAAATGAATAAAATGTCTAGG